TTGTTATTTCCTTAATCAGAAAATCATCTCTCCTTGAGATGAAAATAACCTTAACTTGCATTGAGGACCTTATATTTGGACCTGAGCCAAACTCAAGTTTATTACTTAATATTCACCAGAAAGAATTTTCTAGTTAACTAGAGACCCACAGTCTCTCTCCACCAACACTGCCCAATACCAGTTCTCTGCCCATTGTCCCTGCCTGCTCCAAAATTCAATTTCCAGATTAATCTTCCTAAAAATCAACTCCAGTCAAGCCATTTTCCTACTCTGAAACACATTTTTACACTCTACTGCCTAGTGATATAATTACAGACTCTTCCCTTGGCAGCTCCATCCTGCTAACTCAGTAGTTCTGACTCATTTTTTCTCATTCCACACAGTTCACAGAACAGCACACTCTCATCAGTAATGTCTCACATCGCCTGCAGTGGTCTTCAAGGAACAAAGTAGTACACTCAGGGGCACATAACAGTCTCTGAGTAAAACAGTTGTATCATGTATATAACCAACACCTCCGTGGTGCTTACTATGTGCAGGTACTTTCTGAGTGCTTTTATGAGCATTTTAAAAGTATAAACTTGGGGCTCCTGGTGGCTCTGTCAGTTAAGGGTCTGCCTTTGGGTCAGGTCATGATTCCAGGGTCCTGGGATCAAGCCCTGCATTGGGCTCCCTGCTCAGCATGGAGCCTGCTTCTTCATCTGCTTCCTCCCCCACTCATGAACCCCCTCTCTCTGATAAATAAATGAAGTCTTTAGAAAAATTAAAAAATAAAAAAAGTATGGACTCATTGAATTCACCATACAGTCCTATGCAGTAACATTTATCATTATTCCATTTGCAGATGAAGAAACTGAGGCACAGAAGGGTAAGCAGTTCTTCCAAGGGCATGTGGTTAATAAATGGCAGATAGTCTAGGTCTGCACTCTATGCTCTTAAATCCTTTGACATTCTGGCTCTCTCCTTGGATTCCAGCCAACCACTTTCTACCATCCCCTTCTCCAGTACTGAAGGCTGAGAATTACTGAGCTCTATCATTTTCATCAAGGTTCAAAAAAAATCCCATTCTATTTTGAAAGTGGCCTGAATCCATCTAACCTCCAGTGACTTACTTCTTTGATCTTCTAGATCACCTTTCTCAGCTACCACACATGTTTTACTTAGCATATACTATCTTTGTTGTCACCAAACTACATGATATATCACATCTTTCTAACTGTATTGAAAAACTTCCCAAACCAAACTCATAATGAACACTGCAAATGGCTCTTCTGATTTCCCAATTTTATTAACACTACCTTTAATCTAAGTTCAAAGTAACTTCTGTCTCCTTTCTCTCCCTTGCTGAGTCCATATCCACCTACAATCTACTCCTGAGTTTTGTTTTTTCATGCATCCCTGATACCACTCAATATTCTCCACCTTTTCTATAGAGTAGGAGATGCTGCAGTTATTAACTGGCCCATGGTAAGCAAGTGATATATTTTTGGTTGTTTTATCGCTTGATGTTCTCACTACCCTTTCCCTGACTATCATAGAAGTCTTGTATCTGGTCTTCCAGACTCAAGTCTTTGACTCCACGTATTCATCCTAAATCCCATTGTCAGTTTAGTTTATCTGAGGCCCAGCCTCTGTCCTGCTCCTGTCTACCACCCTTCCCTCCCCACTATTGTGTGCTGAAATAAGAATGCACTTCTCAGTTGGTACCAAAAAATCTACTCATCACACCTTTGACTTAACCTTCTGACCTCCCCTCCTATTACTCTACTGTAGATGTTGCACCTTCTAAGCAAGTCAGACCAAAGGCTACTCTCATGTAAGGTTCTGGTTTTTCCCCTCCATATTTCACTTGTGACATTTATTTCACTAGAAGTGCTGTCCTCCACTCCTTCACCTTTACATCTGGACACATTCACATTACCTTTTTTAAACTTAGTGTGCTGTCTTGCTTTTGTAGACTCATGATAACTTGTTTAAATCTCTCAGTTGGCCTTCTGTTTGGCTACTTGCTTATCTTCTTTACTGGATTTGAAAATTCCTGAAGCCAGGAAATAGGCCTTACCCCAGTTCAGCAATCCTGCAACATCAGCCAATACCTTGCATGTAGTAGATCTTAAATGAATATATGTTGGATTGAAATAACTAGTAACCTCCCCCTGATTATATATAGAAAATATGAGTCATTTCTAACACAGTCCAATCTGTCATTTTGCAAAGGACATAAACCAGAGGCTATGATAAGTTAAGGAAAAGCCTTTTAAGTTCTGGGGCACAAGAAGGACATATTGAGATTGATTAAGTAGCCCCTTGTGTCATCTTTAGAATTCCTCAAATCCTGACTCAGTATTTATCTGTATTTCTTATATATTTACTTAAACCATTTGTCTCATTGTTTATAAATAATACCTTACATTTCTGAAGCTTAATTTCCTTTCCTATAAAACCAAGATAATGTTACCTACTTGGCAAGATGGTTATGGGGATTAAAGGAAATACAGATCATATTTGATAATATATTATTTATAAAAAATTAACTATTGCATCCTGTAGGTGCTGAAAATGTGTTGTTTCTTTCTCCTGTCATTGATGAACATGGTCCACTTAACTGAAGGGGCCTGTGATCCAGAATTGAAGTTGCCTGCCCTGGTGGACTGGACACAAACACAGAGAACCTGTAAACTAGTCTGGGAAGCAGTCTAGTTGGGGGGCAGCCACATATAAACCATTGACCTAGGGGAGTAAAGAGGCACTGAGATTGGCAGTTGACAGTTTCTCATTCTTCCATAAAAAGAAAAGATTGGTAAGTGTTAGCAGTATACAACCCTTCCTCGTCCTAGAATTCTGCCTATGGGACTCAGAAGCTTCTACTAAAATCCATTTTAGAAGGAATGGTCTTCTGACTGTGCATTTCACTTTCTTCAGTGATATCTCTATGAACCACCTAATACCAGCCCTCTGACTTTCCTCCCATCCACCATCTCCCCATTGAGAACACGACCCTAGGAAAAACTGTGCATAGAGACTGAGCAGAGCTGGGACTGTAGGTGGCAAATGAAATGGCCCCAGCCAGCTGGATGGGAAGACTGCAGAGCCTAGAAAGCTGGCAAGATCTGAAGAAACAGCTCTGCCATTTTTATCCACCTACAGCCTCCAAGGCAGTCTTTGTCTTAGGAGAAATAGAGAAACATAAGTGATGAGAAAACATTGACTTGACAGAGACAGCAGTAACAACATCACTGTTGGTTTCCATGGAGCATTGCAGATTCAAATTTGCTTGGGTTCAATGTTTTTTTCCCTCCTTATTTCTATTACGTTCTGATTTTTCTTTTTTCCAGTGTTTTTCTTTACTTTCTCCTTGCTCGGTAGCCTCCTTTCAACACTTTTTCCAGCATCAAGGCTGTTAAATATACACTGTTAAACATTCTTAGCCTGATGTAATTAAGGGAAGGAAGTCAGTCTGGATCAATGACAAGCTGGAGAAATAAGCAATTTTTAAGGAAATGAAGTTTTATTACTCTTAGGGATATACTGAAATTATTGAAAGCAGTAACGGAGCTACAGAACTTAGGAAATGGAAGACTGCCTTAACTCCTACATAAGCATATATTATAAATTTACTGTTTGAAATAAAATGTGTGTTTTGCTTTTTTCTTTTTTTCCTAAAGACCTTTACCCCTTAAACAGACGAACATTTATTTCTTTACAAATTGCTTAGCAAACATTTTTTATTTGGACATTGAGAATATTGAGATATGAATGCAAATATCAGTTGTTTAAAACTTGGTGCTATGCTAACGAGGTCAGGACCACACACTAAATCTCTCTATCTGCCAATTATCTCTATTGCGTGGCCACAAGTATATGAACGACAAGCTCTGGTCATAAGAAGCGTTAGGGGAGAGGATGGGGATGAATCCATCCCATACACTTCCACATAATTGGAAAATGGCTCTGTTTTCATCAGCTAAGCACCCGTGGTTAGTAGTTTCATCTTTCTTAATGAGCATCAGCTATCTTAGAATTTTAAAGATAATTTTAGCACCATCATTGTGACTGTAATAATTTGTTTATTTGATATTTCAACTTTCTGCTGTGTGGTAGTGTGACTTAAAATTAGATGGGCATTTCTCTGTTTTCAGTTACATTTCCTGCACGTATATTTATATCCTACTTGTTAAGGCTAATACTATGTAAGCTCATTGAATTTGTCTGAACTCTGAGGGAAAAATAACGATCCATTTCATGAGATGAGTGATTTTTACAAACTTCTCATTCCAACTGAAAAAGTGCTTTATTTCCCCCTTGATTAAAATGTATTTCTCAATTAAATTAAAATGCAAATATAGACAGTCTGTGTTTATGGTTTTAATGGAATTATTTAAAGAAGATTTTAAATCAACCTGCTGTTAATATTTCATGCAAGAACTGTTGCTTTTATTGTTGGGCTGGTACTGCCATGTTCCATTTTCAACAGTACTTAAAGTGCTGCGAAAACTTAATCATGCTGCCTAGGTTTTATCAGTTTTTGGCTGCTCTTCTCTAGGATGTTAAAATGGACTTCTTTCCTATATACTTTTTAAGTTATGCCAGTGATGTTGGAGAAATATCAAGTACTAAAACTTAAGAACCCCCTGAAATTGAGTTATGAACAATTTACTATTTTTTTGTTTGCTTTTTTTTGGGGGGGTGTTAAAGGAATAGTGTATAACACAGAATTAAATTAACTCAAATTTAAGATAATCATATTTTATAATTTATTATGAAATTAAAGATCTGGAAAAGTACTTCAAGAAACCACTTAGTTCAATCTTTAATCTGTATTATGAATGTAAATTATTTGTATTAGAAATTGCATCTGATGATAATGGATTTAATTATGATCCTGATAGTATTTTTCCAGCTATTTTAAGAGGTGTTTTATTATTTGTCAAGCACATTGATTAAAATAATTTTTAAATGATATTTTATAACTTGACCTTTTCCTTTTTTGTCATTTTCAGTGATCTCAGTGAAAATCAAATTCAGGCAATTCCAAGGAAGGCTTTCCGTGGGGCAGTTGACATTAAAAATCTGTAAGTAATTTTTCCAACTTATACTGTTGTTTTAAAGTTATCTATTTTCAGCTTTAAATTTATATTGAATAATGTGTCAGAAAAAAAAAGTGAAAGCCCTATTTATCTTTATGCTTGCTTGGAAAAGCTTGTAATAATAAGTCTTAAATTGTTTTCACAAGCTATCTGGAGAAATTCTCATGTAAAAGATGTCTTGCGTCTGAAGTTGTTATCAAATTCATTCTTCAAACTTTGTGATTAATCTTGTGAAATCTCAAGAAAGGATTTGATTAAAAGGTATTTACAGCATATTTTCTTCATTTTTACTGTCAACTTACATCAATAACTCCCTTTTCTGTTGTTATCAATGTTTATTGGAAATGAAGAATATAAACTTTTTTTCTAGAAAGAGTAGATAATATTTTCTTGTTAGAGATGCCTGGAGCCTGGAGCTATAGTGTTTTTGTTTTTGTTTTTGTTTTTGTTTTTATCACTTTTAGATCACTGTTTTCATTACATGCCAAAAGTGAGAATGAGAAAATTATGTCTTTCCCTTTGTGTGAATATTTTTCTTACATATTTTCCCCTCATATCTTTATGAAGGAATATGTGTATAGCCCTCTTTAAAAAGAAAAAAAAGCATGAAGTAAAGGAAACCATGTTTCTGAATTTTCCTTTTATAAATCCAGTGTCTTGTGTAGAAGTGTTTTTTTGAAAGTGCCTGTTGCTTTGAAGATACATATCAGATTTAAGATTTCAGTAAAAATCCTAATTTTGCCAATATGTATCTTATAAATTCTAAAATACTACACAAGTCTTTGAAAATGATCGGTTTTGATTGACTGCAAATGCTAGGACATAAAGTGTTGTCTGTAGCTTTTACATTACTTTGGAATGTAGGGGGAAAAAAGCCTCTGTGTGCTGAGATTAACTATCAGGAATTCAATATTTCTTAGCTAGTGATAAACAATGCAGGCACTTTTCAAGAATTAACTTATATTCGACATTCTCCATGGTGGGATACAACATTATTTTTCCAGTAGGAAGAGTGAGACAGATGTTTTCCGTCGTCAAAGAGGATGACTGTTTATAAAGCTGCAAGTTTTGGCCTCTGCATCTTCTCCTCAGTGTAAATGATTTTTGCGTTAAATTTGTACTTTCTAAATGTACAAGTAAAGACAGAAAAATATAGACTTCTAGATATAAATGTGTGGAGCCCTTAAAATTCTGGCCCTAGGTTTTCATGAATGTTTGCATGTTAAGAGGATTTTGTTTGCTTTCCTTTTATCTGCTCTTGCTAGGGTTTGAGGAGGTCTTCAGGCAGATTCTGAGATGTAAGGTGTTCAAAACTACCTTTGTGTCCTATGTCTGGTCAGAACTATATGAAGATCCCAATACAGCACCTACTCAAGTTGCCTGTATGTCACTTAAAAGGATAATCATGGCTATAGTTGACCACCCTCTGGGAATGCCACTTGCAATCTTACAATAGTATTATCTCTAAATCCTTAAAACAGGTGGCTTTTAATCTTCTTAGTAAAGATATTCAGGGAATCCAAGTCTATAAGTAGCCCATCTTCCATATTTAAGGATACATTTGGCAATGGGATACTAATCATATTGGGATCCCTCCTTATGTCCTCTTTATTTATCCTTAAAGACTGTGATTTTAAAAGTTTAAAGATAAAAAGAAAAGTGAGATGCTAGGCAGTGTGCTATGAAGAATGCGATATTGATTTAGCAGGATCTTAAAAATCTTTTTTTCCCCTATATGCATCATTTTCCCTCCAAATTTAAGGGCAGTTAATATGTATACAGAGAGATGGGTTTAGGACTGGAGAGTTGGAATCTTGCTACTTACTGGATTTGTAGGTATGACAAATCAGTAAACTCCATTGAGTCTTAGTTTCACTTTTGTAAAATGAATATGATAATTGCTTGAGTTTGATGTGGTTATTAGGGAAAGAAGATATGTGAAAGGCCTTTTAGTAAAATGCTATAAAATGGAGTGTATTATTTCATTCTGTAAGTATTCACTAATCAACCACTAGAAGTTAGCCCTTAAAAAGATGTAGTAAAGATTTAGGAAAGTAGAACATGAAGTAGTTTGCAATATTGGGCATGGTTAGGATAGATCCGTGTCTAGTATGGGTCAATTGGACATGGGGCTAATAAGTGGAAAAAGAAAATATAGCAGAAAGTACTAAATATATACCAGACCTTGATTTATAAGCAAGGTATTACATGCTACAGGTGCTGAGGAAAGAGATAAAAAATATGGCTTGAGGTAATCAGGGAATCGTAGGAAAGAGTTCCTGAAAGAAAATCTAAAGGAATCTTCAAGGATTCAAGGATATTGATTCATGTTATGTGTTGGTGAGTTGCAGCAGACAAGGGTGGATTGAGGAAGTTAGAATCTATTAAAGAATCAATGCAAAGTTAGAATCGATTTCCACTATTCTTGCTGCCTTCCACATAACAATGTCAAAGATCTTTAGAGCAACATTGAAATACCACAGCACATTTATAGGTTTATTTAATTAATTAGGATCATAGCTACAATTTTATAGAATTTTACAGTTAAAATGCATGTTTCTATAATTGAAATATAGTTCAAACTACATTGTTCCCCCCCCAAAAAAAATAGCAGTTTCATGGGGCTTTGTATGAAGATTAGTTTAACCATTAAAAGTTAAGCAGATGTCTGGTAAAATATGTTAGAACTGAGGGTAAATTTTAATCCGTATTATTATTCAAGGTAACCATCAGTCATCAAGTAACAACTGAGTCAAAATGACTCAAAAATTAACATTATTAATATTCAGCATGGTTGGAGAGGTACAGTACTCTGTCCTATTTATCATTCCACTGTATGCATTTACAGTTTGCATAATCCTGCATAGTGGATGTCTACTGTTCCAACTCATTCCCAGAATAAAAGAGAAAAAAGAAGTCTAGACAGAAGAAATATGTATTTTACTGCATTACAACAATACGACCATATTTTGTATAGAGCTGTCTAAATGCCCAGTCTGGTGCACTGTAACAGGTTTATTGGATTTACCACATTCAGGCTTTATTGAGAGCAAATTCCAGTTATCAGAAGATTTTCACTGGAAGCACTTACTCTAATCTTGTGGATTGGCTAAATATGCTCAAGGCAGCAACTTGACGATATGAAACTGATGCTGTGAAAATTTTGCAAATTAGCAGATCTTATTCCTCTTCCTCCAGGCAAGCCACACTAAAACTATTCTAGGCAGATGGACATTTATCTTGCTCTTAAACATCTCCAGGGAGGAATTCCCATAACTTTTTCCTTATTGCTATTAATTTCTTAACTGGAATAAAACCCTGTATATTTTATTTTGTTACCTAATTTTCTCTAGCTGCAACTTAAATCACTTTCTTTTTCCTGACACTTTAGATGGTGAGATCTGAGAATAACAAGAATCATATTAAAATACCAACTAAATTATAGTGTTTATAATAGTCACTGGCAATTTTTCCATAGTATTTACATCTGTTTTTAAATTCCCCACTCAGGTCTGAATTAAAGTATCGATACCATATGATTACCAAGTGATGCCTCACCAAAATGGTAATCAAGGTTTATATGATTTTTCCTTATAAACTTTCTATATGTGTTTAATTTATTGAAACACTGATGCAGTAAAGCCTTCTTGCCTCCTGATCAAATTTCAAATTAAGACATGTTATATTATTTAAACTATTTTGTTTACAAGTATCTGTGAGGTATTTCCAGTTAACTGAATAATTTAGGAGAATATTTAATTTAAGCCTTGCTTTATTGCTGATACTTGTGAGCTTATTCTCTAAGCATGCACCTTAAAGGTATAAAGATTTTCCAAGTCTCTTGTTTTTATGACAAAACATTCCTAGTTATAATTATCCCAAGATTTAAGCAAGAAACTGTACAAATATATGAACTTAAAATTTCAATAGATTGCTAGTTGTTATTCATATCACAAAAGTAAACTTTAACATATTTTTAGTTTCTTTAGTGAGCGCAACATTAACACTTAAAACATTTAAATTCCAACATGTATTATTTTAGATGTAAGACAAATCACACCTGCCTTTTTCTTCTTTTATTTTGCAGTACGCCCTCAAAATGTACTCTATGTTCCAGGCAAACTGTAGTGTTTATTGTCTATAAATAAATACATGTCCTTCCATTTGCTTGTACTATCCAAATTCCCTTAACCTTATATGAGTCTTACCCACCTCTTGCAGGAAAACTGCCTCTTATTAAAAAACAGATTAGGGAAAATATTTATATTTATCCTTTTTAAAAAATATTTAAATTCAATTTAGTTAACATATAGTGTATTATTAGTTTCAGGGGTAGAATTTAGTGATTCATCAGTTACACATTACACCCAGTGCTCATTACATCAGGTGCCCTCCTTAATGCCTATCACCCAATTACCCCATTTCCCCACCTACCTCCCCTTCAGCAACACTCAGTTTGGTTCCTAGAGTTAAGAGTCTCTTATGGTTTGCCACTCTCTCTGTTTTCATCTTATTTTATTTTTCCTTTTTAAACATACATTAATTTATAGACAAGTTTCAGGTTATAAGATGATTTAGTTTGGTTTTCTTTGAGCGAGTCATCATAGTATTTGGGAAACAAATATGTATGGCCATGACTTTTTAGGAAACAAATCACTCAATTTGTGTTGCAATGATTATTGGAGATAAGAAGATTTGGCAAACGGGAAAGACAGAGTTAATCTATATGTTGTCATATAGCTATTTATATTATTTAGAAATTTCATTTTTTCTGGAACTCTGTCATCATCAATTTATTTTATTGATGGATCCATTAAAACCCGTAGAAGGAAAATCTGCCATTCTAGACTAGGGACACAGAAAGACTTCTGTATTTTACTTTATTTTTTACATTTCCCTGGTTTTAAATACTAGAGAAATGAGTATTCCACTGGATACTTCATAACAATAAAGGAACAAGTGTTGCTCACATATTATAAAATCAA